GCCCAGCGACCCGGCCGCGGCGGCTCAGAACGCGGCTGCGGCGAGCGCGGGCGGCAGCAGCTCTCTCCCGGCCGCCTTGGGACCTCCCCTGTTTACCCGCAAAGGACAGAGACGTTGGCTGGCGGCCCCCGCGGTGAGTCCCCTCGCTGTTCGCCTTACGTGCCTGGCCTCGCAGGTGCAGCCTCTGGCCACCAGCCGCCTGAGCACCGGCGGGGCGGGCGGGAGGGCGCTGGCGCGGTACCCTCTCTGCGGCCCAGTCCCGGTCGCCGAGTCGCGCCGTGTCTGCCCGGTGACGCGGGGCGGCCGAACTTTACGTAACCCGCCCGGCGTCCGCCTCGCGTGCCGGTACAGGCACGGGGCGCCGGGGCCCAAGCGGTGTGGGTGGCCCGGGGGCGCGGCCGCGGCCACCTCTGGGCCTTGCCCCGCCACTCAGGCGCCATCCCCGTGAAGCCGGCGGACCTGCACGGAAGGCAGCGTCGGGGTCCACGCCGGGCGTGCAGGGGCTGGGCGCGGGGCCTGGCGCTATGGCCCGGGCATTGACCTTGGACGGCTGGTCCTCGTCGGTGTCCGGTGCAGGGGCCGCGGGACGGCGTTCGGCGGGCTGCTGTGAAGCAGAGCCCGGCTCACCGCCTGCCCTTGTCTTGCAGATGCGGGCCCTAAGGCTTGATGAAGGAGCGTGAGCGACCCGCGCAGGATCGGATTGGCTCAGACCCAGACGCCCTCAGCCGGGTGGGTGAGCAGTTCCCGCCCCGGAGCAGCCCGGGAATGGTGCGCGTTGCAGTGGGGCTGGAGAACCGATTCGGTGGCGAGATGGGCCTGAGCTTCTCTACTCTTTTCTGGCATCTTCCTTAGCTAGAGTTGACCAGCCTGGGCCAGGTGTAGACAGGTGGGGCCCAGGCTAGGCGTGGGCAGAGCAGCCTTTCCCTCGCAAGAGCTTCAGAAGCAAGGCCTTTCCAGGAGGGAGACAGCCATGGTGCGATCCAGGCTGCAGTGCTGCTGGGGCCAGGAGGTGGCGATTGGTGCTCCCATCTCCAGCAGAGGGTCCGGAGTCCCAGTGTGACGTGCAGGGGCTCATGAGAGTGCTTTTCCTAGGCGGAGTCGCCCACGCGTCCTTCACCTGCAGGTCTAGCTCCGTGGTGAGCCCATACCTTGGCCCCAAGGCGCCTGGCCTGCACTCAGCCAACATGCCGTGGGATCCGCGGCCCGGGAGCGGCCCTGACGGTGGGCCTGAGGGCACAGGTGCAGCCCGCTCGGTGCAGAAGCAGTGCCGGAAGTCGTCCTTCGCTTTTTACCAGGCAGTGCGTGACCTGCTGCCTGTGTGGCTGCTTGAGGACATGCGCGCCAGCGAGGCCTTCCACTGGGACGAGCGTGGGCGCGCAACTGCCTTTTCGCCTTCAGAGGCGCTACTTTATGCACTCGTGCACGACCACCAGGCCTATGCGCACCACCTGCTGGCCACCTTCCCACGCCGCGCGCTGGCGCCACCCAGCTCTGGCTTCCGCTGCTGTGCTGCGCCCGGGCCCCACGTGGCTCTGGCCGTGCGCTACAACCGCGTGGGCATCTTGCGCCGCATCCTGCACACAGTGCGGGACTTCCCGCCCGAGGAGCGCGCGCGCCTGCTGGACCGGCGAGGCTGCAGCCGTGTGGAGGGCGGTGGGACGTCGCTGCATGTGGCTTGCGAACTGGCCCGGCCAGAGTGCCTCTTCCTGCTGCTGGGCCACGGAGCCTCACCCGGCCTGCGTGACGGTGGCGGCCTCACACCTCTCCAGCTGCTGCTGCACCAGCTGGACCGTGATGCCACTGGCCCTGGGACCTCAGGGGCCGGGGAGCCGCACCAGCGCCACCTGCTGCTGCTGGACCTGTTGGCGCTCTATACTCCTGCAGGTGCTGCTGCCCCAGCCCGCCGCGAGCTGCTGGGCGACCGGTCACGCTGGCAGCGGCTGCTGGGTGAGGACAAGTTCCAGTGGTTGGCCGGGCTGGCTCCTCCCTCACTCTTTGCACGTGCCATGCAGGTGCTGGTCACCACCATCTCACCTGGTCGCTTCCCTGAGGCCCTGGATGAGCTGGCGTTGCCACCCTTCCTGCGGCCACTGGACCTCACAGGCAAGGGCTAGGCCCATGTGAGCCAGGGGCGGACTGGTTTCTGAGCGCTGTACCTGGCACTTCACATATATCATTCTTTGCAGAAGCCTCCATCTCGTCTGTCATGTCTGTCGCCTGTCCTGGGCACTTGGCCCCTGAGTTGGGCCCAGCGTGTTCCTCATGCAGGGTTTCCTCGGTGCATCTGCCATTCCTGGGAATGGGTAGTGAGCGTCTGTCTCAGGTGATGGCCACCGAGCTGAGCTGAGCAGGAGCTGGGGGTGGTACAGACGCCTGGAGGCTGTGGGGCCTCTGACCTCCCCAGGGAGGCTTGGGGTAGACTCTGTGGCTCAAGAGGTCAATTAAAGCTGAGCCAGCAACTGGGGCAGGCACTGGGGGGAAGTGGGTCCCAGGCCCTATACACACCCCGTGCTGTCTCCTCTCATGGCTCAGCTTCGAGCCCTGACATCTGAGGGTTAGATGGTGGCTGGAGCTGGTACACGCCCCTGGGGAGCAGCTTCCATCAAGAGATGGACTGGACTATGTGGACCCTAGCTGAGGGGCCTCAGGCCAGGGAGGATGGCCAGGCCACCCTGCCCGGATTTCTGCCGGGCGAGTGTGAAATTCAACCCTGTACTGGCCCACATGAGGCTAATATCCTGCCAAGAGAGGAGGCCCTCAGTCTTGTGGCAAAGCGGACAGCCTAGGTGGGCGCAGTAGCGTGTGCTTGTAATCTCAGCACTCAGGAGACTGAGGCAGGAGGATTGCTGTGAGTTTGAAGCCAGTCTGGGCTACAAAGTGAGCGCGAGGACAGCCTGAGCTGCACAGGGAGATGCTGTCTCAAAAGCAGCAAAAAAAAAAAAAAAAAAAGCCAGCCTGGTGGAGGCGTGTGCTGCCCATGGTGCTGCCTTTCCCAGAGGAGCACGTGCCAAGGGCTTGGAGCAGCTTCGTGAAGGCTCTGAAAAGAGCATGACCCTGTTCTGAGGACGCATGGCAGGCTGTGGGGTGCCCAAACCTTGCACTTGTCCTAGCTCTGAAGTGGCGTGAGGCTCTGCATCCTGCTGCCAGGTTGCAGCCTTGGAACTCTGGGGCAGTAGCAGATGCTAACAAGCTGGTGACAGCAGAGGCCCCCTCCTCTCCTCAAATTCAGGATGCCACAGTAGGGGCACCTGCTTTGGAGAACATGAGAGGCTGGGCCTGGGGGGTGGGTACCTGTGGGGTACAGGTTTCCTCTCCAGGAACATAGCTGCTTCTGTCACAGCCTCCTGGGGCAGGGACGTGGGGTGAACACCCTAGAGCCTGTAGAGCAGGAAGCAGCAGAGCAGTGCTATTGGAAGATGCAGGACACCCAACCCAGGGGACCTGGGGGGGGGCAGCAGCTGAGTGTGGCCAGCAGTCACCGGGGGCTGCCTCCCCCATTGACAGATGACTTGGTGGCCCCCTGAGTCCCTGGCCTTGGCCAGGTGAGGGCAGAGGCTGCTGGGGTGACGGATTGGGTGGGTGGGTGGGTTGGGAAGTAGAGGCCCAGTGAGCAGAGGCCAGGCCAGCATCGAGTGGGGCCGAGGGCTGTGTGGCCATGGCGGCCTTGGGCCCAGCAGGCCTGGAGAGGTCCTGGTAGATAAGCAGCACCTCAGGTTATCTGGCAGTGGCGGCTGTGCGGAGGGTGCTGGCCTAGCATCTGGCTCATTGGTCCCTTGGGTCCCCAGGGTGCCACCCCAGGCAGAGTCAGCCTGATGCACACCAAGAGGAGGCCCAGGAGGTCAGAGCCAGCTGGGCCCTACCCCTGCGCTGGCCGGCAACCTTGGTGACTTCTCAGGCGGCTCCATGGAGTCCAGGTTTCTCTCAGGACGAAGCACACTGGTGCTGCAGGTTTGGGCCCTGCACCCACTGCTCTGGAGACCTTCAGTCCAGACCACTGTACTGGGGCCCTGGATCTTGGCTCAGTTCCCGCTAATGGGGAGTGAGGGCTCCTCAAGCCACCACAGGGTGTCCCACCTCCCTAACCTTGTCCCCAGTTCCCAAAGGGACTTTGGAGGACAGGACACCTGAGGAAGAGGCCTGGATGCCGAGTCCGCCTCCCACTCTAGGAGCTTCCGGCTCTTCCTGGGTTTTTCCTCCTTGCTGTGCTGTAGGAGAGCATTTCCTGTATCACCTTACAAGGGGCACCTGGGGTGGGCACTCCCCAGAGGGGGCCCTGGCAGCGACTGCCTCCACACCGGTGCTTCAGCACACTGGGCTACAATGCTCTAAGCAAGCACAAGGCCCGGAGTGTGAAGTCGGAGGAGATGCCACCAATGCTCATGTCTGTCCCAGCAAAGCCCAAGCTAAGGATAGGTTAGAAACACTTTCTGGTCAGCCCTGGGGCATGGGCTGTGTCGGGGAGTCCAGGGCAGGGAGGGACAAGGCCACTGGCCTTCAGGGCATCACTTGCCTCTCCGAGTGGCCTCGTGACAGGGCCACTGGCCTCTCTCCAGGCTTTCAGGTTGTGTATGGCCACAGGTTCTGCATAAGTCTGCTGTGAGTACTGCAGGTGGAACTGGCCAGGCCCCCCCTCCCCGTTTTGTATTTTCCCCTATGTAAAAGCCCTATGTGGATTGTCAGACATGACTTTTCAGACATGTTTATTTGGTGATATTTGAATTAAGTAATGCTGATACTGTGAATAGTGTTAAAAAGCTGAACTTTTAAAATGTAAATTTATTTTTGGAATAAATAATTACATTTACATGGCTCAAAATTCGAAAGATACAAAAGGTATATGCTTAGAAGCAGCTACCATGAACCCTAGCTTTTGTCCCAAGTAGAGAACCTGCTACTTTCAGCCCTTCCTGTGCCCTGAAATTAGGAGAGGCTTCAGATGTGCCAGGAGGCAGAAGCAGCACGTGCCTGTGCCCGGCTGTGCTTGCCCACCTCTGGCCGGGGCTTCCCCTTTGTCCTCCCTGCCACGTGGCTTCTGGCACTGCGGGTTATAGAGACCCAGGCTGTGTTCCCAGCCCGACTTCTTGGGGATACCTTTGCAGGGCAGAGCTTGTGCCCTTCCCAGGGGCTACATGAGCAACCCCCCCCCCCATGGTCCCTGTGCCTCGGGAGCCAGGCGTCTGCGATGGTGGCGTGAAGCATGCTTCCCCTCCTTGGTCCACACTGGGTCTGGGTGTTCGCAGATGCTCTTCCCTGGAGGCGGCCTTAGGATGTGCCCCGCCCAGATCACCCAGTCACTCCAGGTCTGGATGCCTCTGAGGTGATGGCCCCAACACCAGGCTTGTTCTCGGTGCCTCCGCTCAAGCCTGAGGCCTGGTGCACATTAGCGCTCCACCGTCCCACCGCCCCACCGTCCCCTAGCCTTACGCAGGAGCTCTGGTCAACCCTACATAGGAATTTTCTTCAAGGGCTTTTCCCTTCAACTTGTTTTGAGGCAGGGTTAGGCTGGCCTTGAGCTCACGGGACTCCTGCCTCAGGCTCCTGGGGGCTGGCGTGATAGGCATGCGCCAGGCCCCATCAATTTTGAGTTTGGCATTCTTGCCATCAGTAAGTCAGACGGCTCCCCCGTTCTACGTTTCTCTAATCCACTTGCTGTTACTCTGCCCCAGAACTACGGGGAGTCACAGCAGCTGGGAGGCTGCCACTGCGCCCACACCTGACTCCTGCTGCCTGCTGCAGCTTAGGCGTGCCCTGCTGAGCTGCCCGCTGCGGCTCCGTCTGTCTGGGGCCACACGTCACTGCTCTCAGCAGTGCTCCACGGCTGTAAGGCCTCCCCCGGCAGCACGGGCCTGCAGCTTTGCCGAGCGGAGCTTTGGGCCCCAGGCCACCTGCGTGGACCCTGGGCGGGGGGCGAAGCTGCAAGGCCCCTGGCGCTGAGCGCAGCCAGCTCCCTCAGCGCATCCCCCCAGGGCGATGTCTTGCCACCCCACGCTGCATGTTCACTCGGTCCTGGAACGTGAAGCAAATCCTCTTAATCAGGTCTGCTTTCTTTCGTTTCAGTACTGAGAAGCAAACCCACACAGCCTTTGGGCTGAACACCCCCCCCATCCCTAGCCCCACTACCCTCTAAAATTTTGAGTTTAGAAAGCTCTTGCCATCTGTGATTCAGACAGCCTTTCCTCCTCTAGTCTGAAGTCTCTCTTCATCCACTTACTATTGCTGTGCCCAGACCCAGCTCAGATTTACAACCCTCCTGCCTCAGCCTCCCAGAGTGCTGGGATGGCAGGTGTGACCACCATGCCTGGCTCCTCAGGCTTCATGTCTCCTCCACTTCACCATCTCTTGACAATATCTCTGACGTTTCTTGCTCAGGTTGCTTTCCAGGACTTTGGAGGTAACCTTTTTCAAATGTTAGTTCCCATAATGCACTTCTGGTGTAGGTTTTGCTTGTTGGCTGGGGACCTGCACCTCCAGAGCTGCTCCATCTTGTGAGGAGACAGCCTGTGCTTGCTGAGTGGGTGCGTCCAGCCCAGCAGGGGCCATGCCTGGGCAAATGCAAATGGAGCATGGCTTTCACCACTAGCCAGGTCCCCAGATCTGTAGCCTAGTCCTCGGGGGCACCACTGAGGGTGCCTTCTGGCTCTGGGGCCAGACCTGCCCGGGTTTGCAAAAAGTCAAGTTTATTGCACAATCTCAAAGCACAAATGAAGGTGAAAACCAGAAAGAAAACTGAACACCACGCTGACGGTAGAAGCTGAAGAATTCACTGGACTTGGCGTCACTGCACTAAAGTTCCAGGTTGGGAGGGTGCAGCCGCCGTGAGGCTGGGCAAGACAGCGCTGACACCAGGCTCACCGAGGAAGGTTCTGGAAGATGAAGTGGGATGAAAATCTGGTCCCACACCTCATCTTCTCCCTGGTGGCTGCAGTCCCTGTCACACCCTGTATTTTACTACTGTCACCTGTGGCCTGGGGCTTCTGATGGCTTGCTCAGCAGAAACAAGCATCATGTGTCACCAGATAGAGACAGCTAAAAAAAGCAGCTGTGGCAGCCAGGACTGGCCTGGCCCCAGTGTGGAGCTCAGTGCCAGTGGGCAGTGCCCCCGCCGACCCTCAGAGCCCGGGTGGTGGGCCCTGGCCACCGTCCACGGCAGGACTGGCTTCCACTGCTGGGGTGTGAACCCAAGGGCCCCTATGACCACAGTGGGTCAGGTACAGGACAAAGCTTGGGAAGGGGGCAGATGCCTCCCCCAGTTTTCACATGTGTTTCTGTTCTAAATTTGTAAGGTCGGATTTCAGATGAGGTATCTCAAGAGGGTTTGTACTACAACAAACACAAAGGCAATACTTAGCAGAGCCATGCTCAGGCTGGGCCTGGCTATGTGAGGGCCACAGCAGCACCAGCTCAGGGTCGCTCACACGGCAGCACGCAGCTCGCCGGCCAGCTGGCTAGTAAGCAGCTCTTGGCCCAGCACCTGTGGCCCTGGTGTTGGGGAGGTGACGGGCGACAGAGCTGTGGCACTGTGTTCTCATTGCACACAACCCAGGGCCACAGATGTGGAAGACTTGGTCCTGCCCAGCCCAGCAAGGAGTGAAGCCAGGTGCCATGTTTCCGGGAGGGACAGGGATGTGTAATGGTGGCCGCACCCTTGCCACCTGCACTGTTGCCCAGGTGTCCCCATCCTGGCTCTGGCTCCTGCCAAGAGGGCCTGTGCCTTCCACCAACGGGGTCATTTTCCTTGCAGCCAGGCAGCAACCCTATCCCCACCTGGAGGCGACCTTGGGAGCAGCCATTGGTGCTACTGCTGCGGGACAGTTCTGGGCACTCAGCTGAGGCTGCGAGCTCTGGAACAGGACAGGAACACACAGAGGATAAGTGTGGGTGTTGGCACAGCCGGGTATGTCTGGACAAGGGTCAAGAGGCCAGCTTCCGTGGACCTGCAGAGCCACCGAGGTGGGCCTCCTCCTGGCCCAGGCACCTGGTCCTTCAGATGACCTCCCACTCGTCCTCTAGGTCCTCGGGGTGCGGGGCGGCTGCCTGGCCACTCCTTGGGGTGCTGTGTGTGTGGCTGAATGTCCTTGTCAGCCGCTGGAGGAGGCAGCCAGGGGGGCCAACTGCCCACAGCTCATCTGAGGAGGTTACTGTAGGGACAACAGCCAAACAGCACTAATTAACCACACAGCTGGGGCAGTAGGCACAGGGCTAGGGCACAGGCCAAGGGCCTCATTTGGCTTTGGAAGTGGCCATGTGCTGGCTGCAGGGCCCCTGATGAGCCGTGGTCCACCCTGCGCTTCATCCCCTCAACCTCCAAGCATGCACAGCACCCCGGCCCAGCCTGGGGTCCGCACACCCACTCCTTCCACCAGCAGCCTTGGCTCTGGCTTTGAGATGCAGGGCCACGTGGGGCCACCTCTTCATGAGCCCTACTGACCCAGCCCAGAGTCCCCAGAGGGTGTGGAGCCCACCACACCCAAACACCTGCCTGTGAAACACAGCGCGTTCCCAGGGATTTTCTTCCAGTAGTCACCAGCAGGGTTTTTGTCTGTGATCCCATAGCGGCGGGCAAGGTCACCATTGGGACAGCGGGCCCACACGGTTCTGGTGCTCAGTGCCAGCTGGCAGGCCTGCAACCCTGTGGGCAGATGGGCACCATCAGTACCCAGCCCTCCCAGGCTGTCCCAGACACCATGCTAGTCCACAGCACGGCTCATGGGGACAGGGTGTCCTGTGCCACCCGGCACCAGAGGACGCCCTCCCTCTTGGCAGGCAAGCTACACCGTGACAGCCACAGCCAAAGGACACAGGGTCTGGGTGGCCTGAAACTGTCATCTGTAAGGCCCTGGAGACCTCCTGGTTCACCATGCCTGTCTCCTGCCTCAGCAAAATGGCAAAGCTGAGACAGCCCGAGCAGGACACACTGGGGGACCGGCTCCCAGCTGACAAGGGGGCCAAGCCAGCAACATGCTGCTGGTGACGGCATCTCCCGGGGTGTGCCTACCCGGCACATGTTCCCAGCCGGTGCCAACGGGCATCTCCTCGGTGACCCCGGTGCGCACATGCACATTCCACCTGCTGTCCAGAGCCCACAGCATCTGGTCGTCGGGACTGGCGTAGACGTTGACCAGGGTGACCCCGGTGGGCTGCAAGCAGGAACGGGTTTTTGTCAGAGGAGGAGATGGGGACCAGGGGGCAATGGGGCACCTGTGAAGGGTAGGGGCAGGCACCCAGCGACACAGGGTGAGCTGGTGCTGCCCTGAAGGTCACTGGTTCCACTGTCGCTGCAGGTGCGCCAGCCTGGGGTCCCACCTGACAGCTGGCTGCTGCAGTGGGGGACAGGCAGGCAGAGCTGCAGGGTGGGCCCAAGCTGCAGGGACCCGCCACTGATCTTCAGCCCACCAAGGCCCACGTGAAGGCAGCTGCCAACCAGGCCAGGTGCTCCAGGGGCCAACACTACCGAAAGACTCCTGTCCGCATGAGGACAGGTGACATCCCTGGTTATAGGTAGACCGTGGGTGGCCCTGCCCAGCTCCACAACTGGCCCCTTGCGCTTGCACAGAGCTACCTGTTCTGGGGCCGCCTGTCCATGACTGGATGAAGCCTCCAAGTTCTGACAGAGGTCACCAGATCCCAGTCCTGGTAACCAGCAATGCTGGCAGCCACCAAAGCCTCAGTCTCAGGACCACGACCTGCTGATAGGGTCTGCACACACCCCCACTTCATGCCACTTGTCACACACCTGCTGGCTCCTGATGCCCAGGCATGTGCGGAGGAGTGGAACAACATCCCTCCGAATGACTACGCTGACCCAGAGGCCAGCTGTGCTGTGTCCTCTATCACTTCTGAATGGCTAGAAACACCTCATTGGGCTCCCGGCTGTGGCGGGGACAGTCCCAGGGACACCCTGTGCTGTCCGTGCCCATCTCCCTCTGAGATGGCACCTGCCCAGCCTCCGTCAAGGGCCCCTACACAGGCTCTTTCCAATGGGCTCCCCGGGGCTCAGGGTACAGGGGAGAGCCAGGACCACTGTGCCCCACACCTGACTTGCCCAGCCCGGCGGAAGGAGCCATCATGGCACCTGGTCTGTCCTGTCTGTCCCTTGCAGGAACAATCCTTGCTTGTGGCTTTTTTTTTTTTCAGGGTTTTGCTATGCAGTTCAGGCTGCCCTTGAGCTATATAGCCTGGGGGCACTGAATTTGTGGTGATCATCCTGCCTCAGCCTCCCAAATGCTGGAATCACAAGCACACACTACCACATTCATCCCTGTGGTCTTTCCAAGTGTGAAGCGCAGCAGGCAGAGGACCTGGCACGGGCTTTGGTTGCAGAGAGGCAGCCCCTAAGTGCCAGACCCTCCTCATCAGAGGCAGGGGTGTTTTTTTTTGGTACTGGGGATTGAACCCAGGACCTTGCACTTGCCAGGCAGGTGCTTATGCCACTGAGCTACATCCCCCACTTGGGAGAGCTGTTTTGTGGGGCCTGCTGGGATGAATCGATGAACCCAGGGCCTCGCACCTCTACCTCAGAGTAAGAAGACTCTGCCTGGGTGGCTTGTTCTTGTAAGCAAGGGATTGCCAACATCTAGGAAGCGTCTGCTGTGAAACATACTAGAGGGGTAAACCATAGAGGCCTGCAGAAGAGGCCTTGGATGCAGAAACCGGGAGGTGGGGAGAGGTGTAAAGCCATGTGGGATGGCGGACCTTCAGGGAAACAACCCACTGGCAGGAGAAAAGCACGGCTAGAAAATGGGAAAAAGGGAGGTACAGGCCCAGTTAGAAGGTGTGTACTGCCGAAGGAAGCATCCTAGGGAGCTGGAGGAGACAGCTGGGCACGGTGGCACACACCTGTGATCCCAGCACTCGGAGGCGGAGGCAGGAGGATTGCCGTGAGTTCAAGGCCAGCCTGGGCTACACAGTGAGATCTGGTTTTTTGTTTTTTTTTTTCCTTTTAAGGTATTTGGTTGTTACAGGGTCTTATTATGCAGCTTGGACTTGTGCTGATCCTCCTGTTTTCAGCCTTCCCAGTGCTGGGATTGCAGGCATGTACCACCATGCTCATGCATGGGGTACACGTCTCGGGGGCCAGTTCAATGCACCTGGGGGCGGGGCCAGCACGGCATGTGGTGCCAGAGATGGAACCAGTCCCTGCGCTTACCTAAGTAGGCGCTTAAGTCTGCTGAGCGATTTCACCATCCCTACACAGTGAGTTTAAGGCCAGCCCAAATTATAAAGCAAGACCCTATCTTAGGAAAGAAAGAAAAAAGAAAAGAAAAAGATCCTGCCTTAGGAGGGCCAGCCTCATAGTGGTCCTGATCCTCCTGTTTGAGCCTCCCCAGTGCTGGGATTACAGGCATGCCACCACCAGGCCAGCACGACACGTGATACTTGGGATGGAACCTGGGTCCTTGCACTTGCCAAGCAGGTGCTTCGACTGGTGAGCTATCTCCCCAGCCTTGGGCAAGGGAAATGCAGAAGAAAGACTTTTAGCCATGCATTGCCTCCAAAATGTGACCTCTCATGAACCAAGTGAGGACAGATTTCCCAAATCACGCTAGGCAGAGGAAGCCAGGACCAGGAAAGGAAACCCTAGCACAAAGGGAGCAGGCACAGCGAGAGGTGCTGGAGAGACCTCGGCATGGGGGAGGCCACCTGAGGCTGGCGGCTGGGTCAAGCGTGTGAAGCTGCTCCAGAGCTAGTGGAGCTCACAAGGTGGCATCCAGGGAAGCCAGAGACGTGCGGCAGGAAACCGTGTGCATAGTTTACGCCCTACCCTGCAGCTGCATCCCTCCTCACTCGATGCTGGGCAGTGGGCAGCTCTATGAGGAGGCATAGGCAAGGTGACAGGGCTGCAGGAGCCGTGGGTCCTCCACTGCCAGTGGACTACCACTGGACACACCTGCGGACAGGGACAAAGGCTCCTGGCAAGGCTGACCCCATGGCTGGCAGCGTTAAGGGCCAGTCCCATGAACGACAGTCTGGGCAGATGCAGGCACCGGCCCAGCCTGCGTCCCAGGATGAAGCTTTATTTTCCTGTCCAGAAATGCTCTGCGCAGCCTCACACCTCAGAGATGTGCACCTGGCCCAAAGCCCTAGAGCCACCCCTCTGTGGCTGGAAGAGCCAGCCCATGGCGTGCCTGGGGCACCAGGGCCACTGTGCCGCCCTTTTCAAGGGACCTCTGCGCCTCTGGCCTGTGCCGCTCGCAAGCTCGGCTCCAGACAGGCGTGGGTGCCTCCGGTGAGACCCAGGACTACTTGTGCCAAAGTCTGCACTGAGGCCTGCAAGTTCCCTCGGCAGCAGGGGATGCAGTGTGCCCCAGCAGCTGTGGGAGGGCAGGTACATTCCCCACAGTGGGCCCCGAACAAGTGGCAGGCCCTGCCCCTGCACTGCCCTTCCCCACTCGTACCCACTGATGAATCCTAAAAAGAAAGCAAAATCCTTCCAACAGCATGGCCAGCACTTTGTGGCCTGTGCTCCATGCCTGTCACGCATGTTTCTGGAATCAGAGCTGGATGGCCGGAAGGCTCAGGCCCTCCAAACTCAGAATGCCCAGCAATGAGCCTCCCTGTCCCCAGCGCCATGCAGACATCCCTGCCCATGAACACAGGGCCAACCGACCTTACCCGTTATTGGGCTGCCCCCAACTCTATAAGCCCCTCTAAACTCTGCTGTCCACAGGGCCAGCCCCAGTGATCTCTACTCTTGTCCTGGCTGCCCTTCTCTGATCACAGATCTCTTAATTTTATTTTACTTTTTTTGAGACAGGGTCTTACTATGTGGTTCAGGCTAGCTTTGAACTCACTATGTAGCCCAGGCTGGCCTTGAACTTGCAGTGATCCTCCTGCCTCAGCCTCCTGATGCTGGGATTACAGGCCTGTGCCACCACACCGGCCGAGCTACACTCCTGCTCTCTGCATGCCCAACATAAGGCACTGCATGCAGTTTCGCCCCTCAGCCCTTGACACACAAAACTCCAACGCTCTGGATCTCCCACTTGCAACACTCCAGTCAGCTGCTGTTGTTGCCCTTCTGCCACTTCCCTGCTCACCCGGCAAACCTGGGTTGGGTGCCAGGTGATACGAATTTATTTAGCCGGTGCTGGATGTTTTGTAGTTTACAAATATTCCGGAGATACCACTGACCCACACAGAAATGTCTAGATCATCGCGAGTCCTGCTTTCACGCTCTGGTGAGCAGGACCAGAGTGGCAGCTAGTACAGGCTCGCAGTGCCCGTCACTGAGAAATACGCTTGGGAGCGTCTCCACCCGGGCTGGGCCTAACCTGTCTGGGCTCCGACAAGTGATCCCTCAGGCCTCGCTCTCACTGGGCTGCAGCGGCCCTCTGCAGGGGAGTCCCTTCAGATCTCTGGCATCCCTTCCCCAGAGTCGGCTCTGTCTGCTCTGCTCAGACTGCCTGCTCTGCCTGGGTCTTCCTGCCTGGGCTGTGGCCTGGACGTGCTTTCCTAGTAGACAGCAAGACCAGTGTGAGGGTCCCTATATGTGTTCTGCTTCTCACACTCCCCTGTCCTTTGCTGCCTGTGTGCAGTGTCTTGGAGACCAGTTTTCTGGCCTGATACTTCAGTTGTTTTCAGCAGGGTTTGTAAACCGAGTCCTTGTTATTCTCCTCGCTCTACCTCGGCTGGAAGTGCAAGCTCACCTACCTGGCCCAAGCTTCCAGCCTCTGTCCCAGGCACTGCCTCCCGGGTGCACTTCCTGTGTCTCACACACCCCTCATCTTCTGAAGCGTGGCTCACACTGGGCATTGCAGTGTGCTCCGGGAACGGCGGCTGCTCTGGGGGCCAAGCCAGGAAGATAGCAAGTCCCAGGCCAGCCTGGGCAATGTAAGTAAGATCCTATCTCAACATACAAAATGAAATAAAAACACAAGGGGCGGGAGGTGTGCTCAGTGGTCACAGGCTTGCCTGGAATGCAGGGGCTGGTGACTCAAATACCAGCGACTAATACTGTTAGAAGAGGAACGCACCAACCAGGGGACATCTAGAGCTGCTTCCCACTTGTGGGTTGATACCCACACCTAAGGACACAGAAGCGAGTAAGGGTCTCTCCCTGCTGGGGGAAAAGGAGGAGGTTGCTGGGGGTGGGCAACTGTATTATTTCTACCTAAATCCCGGCCAGGAGGCCTTGCTT